TCCTTGATCTTCTCTCTGACGAGCTCTCTAATTCGAGGCCGGTGCTCAATTGTGGCAGGCGCGGCAACTTTTGGCATTGCCGGCACGGAAAACTTTTGGGAAGTGGCTGGAATAATTTCCCAAACGTTGCCTACGAGCTTTGCAGTTGCAGGAGGGCATTGAGTTGCCTCAAGCCGGGCCGGTGAAGATTTCTTCTTTTTGCCCTTGCTGCCAGATGACGATGCTGGCTTTTCCTCCTGCTCCTTGGCTGCTTTCTTTGCTTCTTCCTCGATGATCAACTTCCTATCTTGGGGTCCTAACATCTTCCACAGTTCTGAGTCGATCCCCTCCGGACGCTTTGAACCTTTGTAGTTACGTACAATCCGGTGACCATCCCAATGATGTCCATCTGGAATAATTTCACCTTTGGGGGTCAATTTGAGATCTGGAAATACGGGCGCTTCGGGCGCATCAGGCTCGACATCGCTGTCGGCTGGTAGAGGCGTTCCTGGCTCGTATTCATACTCGTCTTGTGGCGGATGCAAACTGGACTCAAGAGGCACAGCTTTGGGTGTCTTCGGAATGACCTGGTCCTCGAGGCGATCGGCTTTGGGTGCTTTCGAGTCAATCAGAGCTTTCAAAGGAAAGATGAAACCCTCGGATGGCAATTCCAACCTCTTTGTTCTTTGGATTGTCAGTGCACCCCAGTTGACATGATAATCTGCGGCTTCCAACTTGGCAACTAAGTATTCACCCTTCCAATCATGACCTGGTTGGATGTAATACCCAAGGAAAATTCCTTCATTTGCTGTTGGGGAGAGCTTACCTGATGTGTTATCCAACCTCTTGGGGTTATTCCAGAACAACACTTTGGCACCAAATGGAATGTGCATTGCAGGGAACTCTTCACCAAACCTGAGTTGCCATGGGGATTCACTGCCGTCAAGCTGGGGGCTTGCATTGATCGCGGTCGCATGATGCTGCATGGCCAAGGGCCACATCTTCAAAGGAAGTCCTGATTGCAACAAGTTGCTCCGGGCACCTTCCAACATCTGACGAACTTCGCGCTCAGCAAAAGACTTTGATGAATCTACATATTCAATGGAAGTCTGGTGTCTGTAACCCAAATCCTTGATGGCCCTGATCAATTCTGGGGAATTGTCAGTGTACACAACTTGAACATCATCCTTTGATCCAATGAAGTGATTCAAGCCATCAACACAACTTTGTGAATCTTTGGATTGGCTAGGGTAGACATACCGATATTGAGTGTGCAGATCTTTCAACACCAACGCAACTTGCTCCCCCCTGAAACCCTCTTCTACGTTTTTCTTGATGATGACATGATCCCCAATGACGTGGTCACCAAACACTTCAGTTTCGATTCTCTTCTGACCACCTTTCTTTCGTGCCTGAGGTGCCATCATCCTTGCTCGTTGGCAGGTTCTGCAAAAGGGGTTCTTGCGGAAATGCGTATACTGATGTTGGGTACTTGCAGCTTCAGCCAACAGATCCTCAGTCTTGCGGCTTCGGATGTACTCCTGCTGAGCGTCATCCTCCACCAGCTCATCCAATTGCTCTTCATCTTGGGCTTCGTCCCGCTTGGCTTTTGAGCTCGACCGTGAGGTCGGCATTGCAAACAACTTTTTGAGGTGCTTATCCTTTTGAAATTGATCTTTGGGATAAACTTTGCAACTATCATCCAAGATTGGGACATGACCTTCGATCTTGAGCTGGACGACCTTGTCATCTGGACGGACTAGGATTGGTTTACCATTGGCAGGCCATACAAAACTGTAACCCTGATCTACACATCTCGTTCCTACGGGGAGCACAGCTGGGGTATGATCGAGTACATACGGATGCACAGGATCTGGCAATGCGGACAACTTGACGTCAGCAACCTCATTGGCCTCAGTCGAGCCGTTGGCTGTGACTAAGGAAATCGGATGCTCGGCTGCACGGCAGTTCTTGGCGCTGACATCCCTCAACATACCCTTGGACACAAGATCGGATTCACTACCTGAGTCGACAAGCCAACTAACACCGGCCTTCGGCGCGGCTGTGGCAATTGACGGAAAACGACCAATATCTCTAAGAGCTTTGGGACCGCTAATGAACCTGCACTCTTTGCATGTGATGTCACGTGTGTCCTCATTCCAACAACAAAACCCACAACTAGGTGCAACATCTGAATCATGAAGTTTCACAGTTTCTTGAAGCTGTCTTGCACGAACCTGAGCCTCATGTTGTTCAACCTTGGATGAAACTGGGACGTCTTCAGCTGTCTTGTACACCTTAGTGAACTCTCTTGGACGGTGCTTGACTGGGACTTGATGACCAACTGCTTTCACCTCGATCACATGTGGGGCCTTTCGGAATCTAAGACGCTTCATGCTGACACTTGACTCATCAGAGCACGAAGTTGCCTTCGGCTGTTTTTGGACGATGCATGCAAACTTCTGGATCAGGCATGGAGCGGCTGTGGAATCCTTGCTCTTCTTCTTGGGAGCGGGTGAATTGGCCCTTTTGGTGTCTTTGGTGGCGGCAGCAGCTTTGTCATCATGCTTATAAAAACATTTGTCACCACGTCTGCACTTTCCCTGGGCATGATAGATGCATGGGGTTTTGGCCATTTCTTCCTTGGACATTTTCTTCCCCTTATCATCTTTGTTGCCCCTTGATGGTGAACGTGTTTTAGTTCTTCTGGGTGATTGAGTTCGAGATTTGTCATCCTTGACATGCTTAAATGGACATTTCTTTCCCTTATCACAGGTACCCTTTTGGAACTTATAGCAAATCTTGTCACCTTTGCCACCTCGTTCCTGCGATCTACCACGACTTGGGGAGCCCTTTCGGCCACCGCGACCATCGCCTTTGGCGGGTGCGGCCTTCGTGTCCTTGATCCCAGCCTTGTTCTTCTCCGCGATGCGGTTCCTGTTCTCCCTTAATCGTTCACGGTCGATCAAGTTCTTCATGGATTGGTGAAGAAAACTATAAGACTTTTCATGGGATTTCTCATGAGCACGGTCAAACATCTCAATGTCATATTTCAGCAACTGACTTGGTCGGATCTGCCTCAACAAGATGTCCCTTAACACAGCATCATCGGGGGTGACAGCCATGCCAGCTAGGGTAGCATCCCATTTGTTGATGAATCTTCGGAGATCCTGGACAGTATCGCCTACTTTGACAACACCCAAAAGATCTTCTACTCTGTAAAGGCTACCTGCTTCTTCTGATGTCTTGAAGTAGTCCTCAAACATGAGCAGAACATACCTTCCCCTGACCTGGATGCCTTTTCGGGATTGCTGCTCTTTGAAATTCAAGATCCTAGTTGCGAGGTCCCCTCCGGCTGAGCGTGTGAGCGCTGCTGATAACTTTGTATCCAGCGTGAGGAACTTTCCAGGATCTTGGAGTTTCTTCTCCAACTGTTCTCTGGTGCACTCTTGATCGTACACCTCGTTGAGCCAGAGCCACGCCTCATCTGGGCGATCTGAACAGCTTTTCACTTCATCCCTGACATGATTCTTCCAAGTCCTATACGATTCCGGAGCGGGCATGTTGTTCAGCTTGATGATTTCGGCCTCCTTAGTTTTTGGCTTATCCTTTTCTTCCCTTTGGGTTAAGGCTTTTACCAATTCAATAAGATCTGAGGGACCCATCACTTGCTGTTGCTTGGTTACGCTCTTAGGAGAGTCATTTGGGGGAGTTTTGATAGCTTCAGTGGGAGTGAAAAACCCTGACTGCGTTGGCAATTGGGGCTGGTCGTTGCCGACAGCCGGCTTTTGCTTGGGACTGCCACCTTTGAGCAGCTCGTCCAACTTGGCCTTTGCTTCCTGCGCCAACACTGCAGGCGTCTTAAACTCAAGAATCGGCTCATCACTGCCTCTGGCAGCCTGTGCATCGGATGCTTTGGGAGTGGCAATATTGAAGTGGGGCACGCTAGTGGTAGCGGCCGGCTCGGCGTTCTGGACGGATGCTTTCGGAACGGAGGCATGCTGCGCTTTGGCAACATGCTTTAACTGCTCCTGAAGGTCATCGATTTGGTCCTGAAGGCTAAGGTTCTGAGCCGCTGCCTCGTTGATCTTTTCGGCCATCTCCTTCTTGTAGTTCTCGAACTCGGTCCTCAAACTGATGAGCCTGGCCTGATCAATTGCAGCCTGATCTTCATATTGCTTCTTTGTGGCAGCTATGGCATTCTTAGCATGTTCAACGGTCTGTGCATAGGAAGCTTCGAATTCACTAGTGATACGTTGCCTTTCCTCTGCAATTTTCTGATCATGCTTTGTATTTGCCTCTACCTTGAAATCCTCTACTCTCTTGTCATGCGATGCCTGAGCCTGATTTAACCTGACCTCTAACTCGTCGCCTCGTTTCCTTTCCTCGTTGACGGCACTGATGGCCTTACCTTCAACCTCCTGCAACCTTTGCTCATACTCCTGCTCCAGCATTACGAGCCTACTTGACCATTCGTTTCGAATTGAGTCAACTACTCCATGCATTATCTGAAGGTGCCTCTGTTCAGCTTCCCTCATGACTTGCAGGGTGTTCCCACTGGTGATTTGGGAAAGGTTGTTTTGTATGAAGGTGAAGTACGCTACAACGGGTTGGAACATTGTTTCGTCATCCATCGGCTCGGGGTTGCCCCCGGCCACATTGGGCACAGCGACAGCCGATGGACCTGACCCTGGAACGGCGAGAGATAGGTCAGTTGGGGTCCCCATAGCAAAGTAGTGAGACTACGGCTGATAACCTGTATTTTACCAGGTCAACCGACAATGGGGAAATACTACAACAAATCCGCTAAGCTCTCAGCTCTTTTTGAACCAACGCTACAGAGTAGATCGATGATATATACACTACATGGTTTTACTGCAGGAGTTTTTACATATATATATATATCTATCTATATCTATCTATATCTAGTTGGTCTCCCATCCAAGCCCCAACAAAAAACACCTTGTGCCACCGTCCATCGACCCCGAAGTTTTCGAAACTGCCAGAAACTGCCAGGGCACGAGGAACTCCCCGCGACCGGAAGGATACTTGCGTCCAGCAGTTCAATGGCCTTCGTCAACCGGCGGAACCGGGCGGAACGGTGGTCGCAGGGATCGCTTTCCGGAGAAATCCTCTGGGTATACCCCCAGTTATATGAGCTACTCAAAGAGGAAAAATAGGGAAAAATGTGGTTTTAATCCAACGGATTTAGAGGTACACAAATTCATAAATTATGTTCAGAGAAAATCATCGTAAGTCAATGATTGTAACATGGATTACTGGAATCCAACGTGGGAAGACTGGGCATGAATCGACAAAAAGGATATCAGCAAGTTGAGTAAGACACCAAAATGGCTTTCAATCAAGAGTGGAAATATTCTGGGATGATAATTATCTGGTTGGTGGTTGACCTACCCCTCTGAAACATATGAAAGTCAGTCAATGGGAAGGATGACATCCCATATATGAAATGGAAAAATTAAAAATGTTCCAAACGACCAACCAGTTATGATATACCATTTATAATGGTTATATATAAATCCTATTAAATCCCTATTTGTTGCTGGTTCCAAACCACCAACCAGTTATACAAAATAGCTTTCACCCCCATAGTATGCCCGTGGCTAGTTGTCTGTCATGTTGTCATCGGCGATGTGAATCGCCCAAATCAGTGGGGCTGTTCAATTAGGGGAGGTACGATGTAAGTATCAGATTAAATGATGACTATTTGGGGAGAAAAGCCCCCTAATTCATAAACAATTTATCAATCCGGGGTTGACATTACTCCCAGTTTTTGCTGAAAAATATCCTAGTGAATTCCCAGATGTTCTTGCTTTTTCTCCACTTTTTCCTGGAGAACTCCCCATTTTTGGTGGAAAAAAACCGTGGATCTCGTGCTAGCCAAAGCGTCCATCTCCTTGTTGCGGACCATGTCGTGGACCAAGGTTTTGCTCTCGGGCCAGACCAGTTCTTCCAACTGTTGATGCACTTCGAGCTGTTTCCTGGGGAGATTCTGCAGGATATATGGCCCTATGGCATCCCATGGCCGTGGGTGATCTACACGCCGTAACGGGTCTTCGCGGTTGCGTTCTTCGGGGCGATTTTTTTGCACGGCTCACATGGGCCATGCCCTTGGGAATCTCATGGGAAGATCGTGGTATTCAATGCTATTTCATGGTATTTCCCATAGGATCCATGTGTGCTGCTATATATGGTGACATTTACCATCAATATATACCAAATGTTAGCATTTTTCTACCAGCACCATGGATCCTATGGTATTTCCATGGGAAATGGATCAGATTCCATGGGTTTTTGTTGGGGATTTTTGGGGATGCTGGATGGTGGTCATCCCACTATTGGTCATCCCATGGGATCCCTGAATGGCTGGATGGGGCCCCAGTTCGTTAGCTAAGTTGGTGAACATAGCTATAATAACAATAGTGTATGATACTTATAACATCTTATAACTATATATTGAAATGGGGTTGTAAACCAACTTGTAACTGGGGGACCCCATCCTGTAGATGTAAAATCTGGAATTTACCAGCCATGTTTGATTGACTAATCTTGCCTAATCTTGTCAATTGCGAACATATTTTGGGAAGATTGGGTGGCCATCTTGATCATGACGAGGATATAGAAAAAAGTTGCGTTGAGGATTTGACTTGGTGCTTCACAGTTAGTGGCTTCTAACCCCAGTTACCCTCTGGTAAACTTTCACATAACTATGGAAAAATCCACCATTTTTAATGGGAAAATTCACTATAAATAGCCATTTTTAATAGCTATGTTAGTCTACCAGAGGGTAGCCAAACCTTAGAACTGATGGGTCAGATCATAAAAGGGTACCCCAAAAAAAGGGTGAAAATAAGATCCCATCCTTTTCGAGGCTGAGGGAAACACCCTGGTTTTGCAGTGAACAAGTTCCAGGTGTGTTAGATCATGTTAGATCCCAAGGTCAGTCATGTCCCCGGTTGAAAAAATCTTGGCGAAAACTCCCTGTAGTCTGTCCGGCCCATCAACACTGCAACTTCTGGATGCCCGGCATGTGTCTTACCCCATCTGAACTTGGCCCATCATGGTGCAAAATCTGAGATTGGTCGTTGCGAGTTCCATTCATGTGGAGGTTTCCGAAACCACGGAGCTACCCAAAAAAATCATCGATTTTGGGATTTTCCCATGGATTCTCCCATGGAATTTCATCCCATCCGGCGATACCCCCAGTTCCATGAAGTGGTCGAGTTGCTGTTCTGCCCTCTTCAGTTCTTGAAGCAAATTACCTCAGCCAGAGATCCAAATGCTCCTATGAGTAATTTGCAGTCCACTCATTGTTATGACTATGATAAATGATGATAAATGTATATTCATGTATCAATAAGTGATAAATTGTCAATATCTCTTGATGATAGCCAATGACAATAATGTTATTAGGAGGATGAGAGGAGCAATCTTCTCCTGGACCTTGTTTAGTGAGGTCAGGAATTCAGACCTGTTTGAATGATCTGTGATGTGAATGACAATAAAAATTTCGACAACTCAGGTGCGAAATCAAATACTGTATGTACCCTCTGGGAAACAAACATAGCTATTGAAAATGGCCATAGAAATAGTTGATTTACTCATTAAAAATGGTGATTTTCCATATTTTTTTGTATGTTTACCAGAGGGTAACTAACGGATTGACATGGGGATTGACATGTTCCACCTCGGATATGTGTCTTGGCCCATGTGCAAAAATTTATGCAGTAATCAGTTTCAAAAGCCATGAAACCCACTGGACAATCCCGCAGGTAGTATGTTGATGTATATCCCATTCTGTCGCCATATAGTATCCCCATTCTGTCCCCACAATCATAAAATGGTATAACCTCCGATCTACAAAACAAAATCATATTTATGTATCTCCTTCTGTCGCCGTTGTATCCCCGAAACCTATCCCCATACACTACACTGATAATCATCAGCCAGCCATCATTCATCAGCTGTATCACATTCCCCATGTGTTTGATGCTTGATGGTCCATCTGGTTCGCATGAAAATCCAAGTAAATTGGAGTTCAACCCTGATGTTTTTTTCACAAAAAAAAACACATCAATTAGGCAAAATGCATCCTGGAAAGTCTCGGGATAGCCCAGCCTCAAAATCCACTGGTTCCAGTAGGGTCAATCAACTTCTGAAACTGCCCACTCAGGCCATGGACTTAGTTCACTACTTTGTACTTCGTAAATCTTGGGATATACCCTCTGGTAATCTTTCACATAACTATGGAAAATCACCATGTTTCATGGGAAAATTCACTCGAAATGGTGGGCTTTCCATAAGTGATGCAACAAATTACCAGAGGCTAGTAGATCTAGTGGAAACTCACCCGACCAAAAAAAATCGGAAAAATCGCCGTTCTTCCAGCATGGCAGGGGCACGCAGATTCCGTTGCCCCGTGGTCATGAAGTCAACCATCCTGAGAGGATCACCGGCAAGGA